CAACACCAAGCAGTGACAGCCTGTTTCATACTTCATGGCCTGAAGATTGTGTTCATGCATTAACCAGGCAGCTACTATTTGGTGTTGGCCTCAGTGTCTACTTTTATATATACATATGTTCTGTCTCTGATATTGTGCACTTTTACCTATAAATATAAGTGTACCTTAAAACTATATTTTTATCATACATACACACATATATATATATATATATATATATATATATATATATATATATCCAGACGACATGCATTTAACGGATGTTAGATTTCATTGAAAAATACATCCCTACCCCCTCCGAACCGTAACAAATAACTGATACATCAAAACATAGACATAATGAACGCGCAGATACCCCTAATCTCGTGAAAGTGGTTTTATCTGTAACCTTGGAAACATGAATTATGATTTTAGCTGTGTCTTTAAAACCCAGTAATTTTAAAAGTTACTCCAAAATTCGCTTGAGGATGAAATGGAACTAATGTCTTTAATTTAATTACAAAATTAAATTCTGAGCTTTTAGCTTCCATTTTTGAAACATAGTTAGAACTGTGTAGCAGAAAAAAACATTTTAAATCAATTAATTTATAATTATATATATATATATATATATACATATATATATAGAGAGAGAAAGGGAGTTTGACATTATTGGTTTGCTTAGGCTGAAACAATTAAAAAGAAATTATACACTGTAATTATTCAAGTAGAATCAGCACGTTTTCCCCAAATTCCTAAACTTAAAATTTAGAGGTGCATGTTATACATAAGAACTAAATATTGTTTTACCCAGTCATAAGTGTCACCATATTTTGGATGGAGTGAATAAAAGAAAGTTATATCTATGGTTCAAAATAACTAATGTGCAACAAAGAGGCTAACACTGCATTTGTTTTTTTTTTAAATATTCTCATAGATATAAATCATGATTTAGTCTACTTCCTTGCTGTCTATATTAAAAGTCAGTGCTATAACAGTTTCATCTCTGTTATCAGCATAGTAGCTGTCTTTGTCAGCTTCAATGTTTTTTTCTTTATCCACTGTCATTTTGTCCTTCTTCAAAAAGCATGTTATTTTCACAACTGTCTAATATACTTGTGATGTAACTTTTTGCAATGACATTGAGGCAATATTCCACTCAGCTTCCAGTATCTATGGACCTATAACAGAAAGTTCTGGACAACAAATATGTTCTGTTCAAGTGACTGACTTGTTCACTTCTTTCGACTCCTGGTTCCTCTTATTGTGAACAAGCAACTTGATATGAACTGGGTAAAAAGTTGATACAAATGTTAAATTCAGGTTAAATTTAGCTACTACAACTCCTAAAAAAAATCTGTGTATATTATACACAAGAGAGATTTTTCCCCCTCAGAGTTTCATAGCTTAAAGCTAGAGGTGCCTGCTATACACATTTACAAAACACGCACATACATATGAGAGAGGGAGGGAGAGAGAATGTTTTATAAATCTGTCAGCTGAATTTGTTGATATTATTTCTTTAGAATTACATAACCAGATACTGTAAGATCTGTTATTCTGTAGATAGGTTCCAACCCTACACAATTGATGACTGAGGGCAAAAATAACCCTCCACACACTCACAGAACTGGGCTGATATATGCTGAGTATTATTATTCAAGATCCTGGTTTTAAGCAACCATTAATATAGGTGCTATTAATTCAGCTGCCAATAAGGTTGAACAGGTTGTAAAAGATAGATAGATATGAACATACTGGAATAGTAAAATGCAGATTCATGTAGTAAAAAAAGATAAGAGATATTAACTGTTTTCTTCAGATAAGTCCTTTAATACATTTATTGCCGACCACAAGCCTGTGGTTGGTAGGTTTTATGACGCCGAACCCAAGGGTGATCTTGTTTTTGTGGTCTTACCAACAAGACTACAACTAAGAGTTATTTCATTGTTTCTAATGCAAATAACTGGTACCTACAATTATAAGGCAGAAATGAAAAATGTACTGGCAACTAAAAACAAACTTTTATGGGAAAAATTCATTGAAAATATAACACATCATCATAGTATCTGAAAAGCAAGTGTCCAATATCCAAACTAGTTGAAATCAGTTTTTGTAATTGACCTCTGGTATGCAATGTGTTAAGAAATTCATTTAAAGGAAAAAATTATTCTTTCAAAACTCTGTGAAAATTATGAAGCAGTCATTAATTTTAAACTTGTTATATTTCTTTTCTTTCTTCTGCTGGAGTTTTTGAACTATTTTCTTTGTGGTTTTGTATCAAAAGACTTCATAATTCCCAGTTGTCCTCAGTCCTATTACAACTACTCATTTTTATGCAGTTTATGTAGCTTAATTTTCTTATTTATATAACTTTTTTTTTCTGTTTCTCTTAATACTATTCTCTCTGATTAGTTAACCATTCCTCGTTTCTTCTGTTTGCTTACACTTTCATTGACTTCCTAGGTTGTTTCTTCTTTTCACATCAAGTCTGGTCCGTTACCCTATCCATGCCTCTCTTATGTTGTTTACTATTTCCTTGTCTCTCCTGGTAGCTTACCCTTCCCCCCATCTCCCCCATTTTCTTACCCTTTCCCCCTGTCTCCCCAGTTTCTTACCTTCCCCTGTCTCCCCAGTTGCTTACCCTTTCCCCCTGTCTCCCCAGTTGCTCACCCTTTCCCCACCCTGTCTCCCCAGTTGCTCACCCTTTCCCCACCTGTCTCCCCCAGTTGCTTACCCTTTCCCCACCTGTCTCCCCCAGTTGCTTACCCTTTCCCCACCTGTCTCCCCAGTTGCTTACCCTTTCCCCCCACCTGTCTCCCCCAGTTGCTTACCCTTTCCCCCCCTGTCTCCCCCCAGTTGCTTACCCCCCCCCTGTCTCCCCAGTTGCTTACCCTTTCCCCCCCTGTCTCCCCAGTTGCTTACCCTTTTCCCCCCTGTCTCCCCCAGTTGCTTACTCTCTCCCCCGTCCCTTCCGGTTGCCTACCTTCTCCCATGTCTCCTCCAGTTGCCTACCCTTTCCCCACTTCTCTTCCGGTTGCTTACTCATTTCCTGTCTTATTTTTTCATGCCTAATTTAGTAAACATTGTGTAATCTTCATAAATCCCATAATTTCATTAGTCTCCTGATTTATCTTTAAGACACAATGTAAAATCTCCCCACCAGCCGACTTTCCATCTGTTTTTTTTTATTTCTGATTTCACTTTGTTACCTCCCTTTTTTTTTCTTTTTTTTTTTGTCAATTTTTCATCACAATTTCTGTTTTTGTTTCTTTTCACTTCATTCTTCTTATCTTTTCCTTTTCTTAATTTTTGTCTTTTCCTTTCTTTTCAACATTTCCTTTTTTTTTTTTTTTAAATTTTCCTTTCTCTGTTTTTCTCTTTCCTTTCCTTTCCTTTCTCTGTTTTTCTCTTTCCTTTCTCTGTTTTTCTCTTTCCTTTCTCTGTTTTTCTCTTTCCTTTCTCTGTTTTTCTCTTTCCTTTCCTTTCTCTCTTTCCTTTCCTTTCTCTGTTTTTCTCTTTCCTTTCCTTTCTCTGTTTTTCTCTTTCCTTTCCTTTCTCTGTTTTTTCTTTCCTTTCCTTTCTCTGTTTTTCTCTTTCCTTTCCTTTCTCTGTTTTTCTCTTTCCTTTCCTTTCTCTGTTTTTCTCTTTCCTTTCCTTTCTCTGTTTTTCTCTTTCCTTTCCTTTCTCTGTTTTTCTCTTTCCTTTCCTTTCTCTGTTTTTCTCTTTCCTTTCCTTTCTCTGTTTTTCTCTTTCCTTTCCTTTCTCTGTTTTTCTCTTTCCTTTCCTTTCTCTGTTTTTCTCTTTCCTTTCCTTTCTCTGTTTTTTCTCTTTCCTTTCTTTTCTCTGTTTTTCTCTTTCCTTTCCTTTCTCTGTTTTCTCTTTCCCTTTCCTTTCTCTGTTTTCTCTTTCCTTTCCTTTCTCTGTTTTTCTCTTTCCCTTTCCTTTCTCTGTTTTTTCTCTTTCCTTTCCTTTCTCTGTTTTTCTCTTTCCTTTTTCCTTTCTCTGTTTTTCTCTTTCCTTTCCTTTCTCTGTTTTTCTCTTTCCTTTCCTTTCTCTGTTTTTCTCTTTCCTTTCCTTTCTCTGTTTTTCTCTTTCCTTTCCTTTCTCTGTTTTTCTCTTTCCTTTCTTTACCGTTTTTCCTTCTTTCTCTGTTTTTCTTTTCCTTCTCTGTTTTAATTTCTTTCCTTATCTTTTCAATTTCTTATTTATTCTTCATCCCATTCTACTTGCCAACAGTTTTAGTAAAGCCAAACTGCCTGGCCGGTGCCAACTTTTGGGATGGGCTTGCCCAATTAGCCCCTGGCACTGATCCAATCCATGATAAAAAACATCTGTACTGGTACCATCACCACCATTGTGATAATAATGAAAATTATCATTTTCCTCCTCCATTATTAACACAAGTATTCTCTCTCCAGCATTGTGAATCCTCTCTTTGCTACTGGACAGTTTAGACACTTTTCACTGGGCTGAAGCCAAAGTCTATCCCATTACCTGATGAAGGCCAGAGATTTGATGAACAAAATATTACTGAAATCCCCTATAAAATATTCTTTTAGTAAATTATTTACAAAAAATATCTGTATAAATATTTTTAATGCATTCTTTACAGTAAAAAATGCAAATAAGTCTTTAACTTATCTATATGACTTTCCATCTGAAACAGTGTTGTAATCAGAAACTTTAAAATGCATTTGTTATGCAGACACCACAACTGGTAGCAAGGATAACATTCTCTGCTGTAATAAATTAAGTTGTGCAGGATGCATTTCTGGAGCAAACTGCCTGCATATGGATAGAAAATGAATTGAGTAGACACACAAAAATAGAAAGGCATGGATGTGTCTTCTCACCAGATTTGTTCAACCTCTACAGTGAGGCTATTCTAAGGAAGCTGGAGACCCTGCCAGGAATTATTATTGGTGATCATAATCCTAACAATATAAAATATACAGATGATACTGTATTGATGGTTGACACCAAAAGAAAACTAAAGGATCTCTTTGGATATTAAAGGAAATTAAGACGGGACTAACCATCAACTGTAAGAAAACAGACAGTATGGTTGTCGGCAAAAGAATAATCCAAACACACATTGGATTAGCAAAAGATGCATTCAAAAAGCTAAACAAAGTAATAAGAAACATGAAAATTTTAGAATGAAAGAAAAGGATGCTGAATTACTACATGACATCAATCCTCTTGTTTGGCAATAAATGCTGGACACTCTCCTCACAGATGTAGAGAAAACTAGAGGCAAGAGAAATGTGGTTCTACAGAAGGATACTGACAATTCAATGGATGGAGTGCATATGCAATGATGAAGTCTTAATGGAAATAAAATGGATGCTGTAGTGAACAATTATGTAGAACTAGTCAGAGTGGCTTGCATCTGGTGTAAAGAAAAATAGTAACTTACTTACCTCAATATGTGACATGTAACAGCAACATTTTATTCCTTTGAAAATGGCATGAATCTTATCCCGACCCTTAGTTATTCCATAAATGAAAGATTCTGAAACATTGGCTTTTATACAGTTTAGCATGGTTCAACCAATGGCAATCCTGCTGATTGTTTATACTGGACGATGACATTTGACTGTGTGACTGAAGATGAAGCCAAGAACACTGATTGGTCAGTTGGCTGTGCCTTTTTGGCATAATAAAAAGGGCTGGAGCAGTGAAAAGGGAGTAGTGATTTTTACATTGGTGATGCTTGCACAAATTTGAGAACAGTGTCTTCAGAAGGAGTATTTAGTGCTATGAGCAACATCTGAGGAATAGAATCTCATTTATTTCCAGAAATTACTAGGAATTTCTTATTATAACATATATTTATACTCAGAATCAGAAAGACAAAGCTGAAATTACTTGGAATTATAATGATAGAAAAGGATTCAAGAATTTGAAGCACACTAAGCAAACTGAGGGCAAAAGGAACAGAGAAAGGCAATGGGACACCTACCTGTCAAAGGGATAAATATTGCTATGAGCTGATAGGAGGTTGTGGAGAGCTATGATCTACCATATCCTAAAATGACATGGTATTTAGAAGGTGATTGATTAGAAATTATCCAAGTTAAACATTGGTGAATATAGTCTGAGATAAAATAAGATATTAGCACTACTATAATCCCGTAAGCTGTAATCAGTGTAGATACTCTAAAATCAGGTATAGCTGATCATGTATGGAGGGAGAGTGTATACATTTCTGGAACTTTGATTTATTAAAAACTAAGGTGCATTATACAATTGTTTTATTTATACTCTAAAAATATAACAAGTGGTGGTCTAATGTTTAGATGAGCTCCATTCTTTAGTCATACTAGTTCAGACCTTTACAAGTGAGACGCATCATGCTACTTACATGGAACTGAGTCATCCTCATTTCCTCTATATTCAAAATGTAAGAGAAGAAAGTTCCATTCAGCTTTTCCCAAAGAACTACTACTTTGTTGAACACTCCCGTGGGGATGCTTCCCTCAGCACTATGATCTTGTCATACCTGTTAAGACAGACCAACTTCATTGGTGGTCATTGCAAAATGCAACAGAACACACCCTACATGATTACAGAGCTACCAACAGCTAGCATAGCACTCTACAGACAGGCTGGAGCCAAAACCACTTGCAGTCTTTGTACAAACTCAATGGTAACGGTAATATTAGCCATTTCCTTATAAGGAAACTTTCAGCATTTATTGACTTGAGCAGCCAGTGCTACTTTCAGTTGAAATTTATAAAATCTTTCTCTTCACCTGAAGAATTTTTCATGAAGATGAATTTCTCAAGTCCAGTAACTGTTATCGCTCTTTCCATTATTAATGTGAGCTTTCTTCCTAAACCTTTTGTTTGAAGTCATGTGAATGATGTCATTATTTTCTGTTTGAGTTACCACTTGGGAACACCGGGTATTTTAAACAACCTCCTGCAATCTGAAATATGATTTGGCTTTAAATAACTAACAAAGGGTTGATAAGTCATAAAAAATTGGTCAATCTCTTTGAGCTACATGTTCTATCATTGGCATGTGGGCGAGTGGTTAGAATGATACCCAGGTTCGAATCATAGTCGATTTTTCAGGACTTCCTGATGTTATTGGACTGGAGGGGTTGATCCCAGCGTACAGCACCTTTTGGAAAGTGCCTGAAAACCATACAATGGGTTGACCCAAGCCTCGTGAGTGAAATTGGGTAGATGGAACCCTTGGGGACTGTCAGTAGCTGTGCTAGAATGAAGAAACAAGTTATCATGGCTGAGGGATTGAGCTTGCTGGCCTTGTTCAAATTGTTGATCATGCTAGATGACATGCTCTTTCCCAGAAACTGTAACTAAGGTCTGCTCAGCATAATTGGAGTATAAACCACAGGTGGCTCTATGAGTGTTGAAGTAGACAGGTATCCTTGAATATGTGTGGCCAGCTCTACTATACAAGTGCTATCCATTTTAGTTGTTGCTGCTGTTGAAAGTCCTCAAATGATGTGGTTTCTAATATCTGGTACAGTTTGTTTTTATGATTCTGTAGTGCCAGTCAACAAGGTTAAAAATAAGAATGGTTATCACAATGGACTACAGGCGTCCTCTGCTCAAAGCCATTTTAACCATTGGTTTTTACATCAGCTGTGTACAGCTGACATTTTAGATATTTTTGAATGTTTGTCACCATGCATGACATCCATATGAAAGTCTCTGATCTGATAAGGCTATTTAAGAACATGACTAAAGTTTTTAGGTTAACATTTTGGTTTTGTAGCAATTTGTGGTGTTGGACAAAATTATCCCTTGCACAGCCTATTCTATATTCAATTTCCTTATCACTGATACTAAATTTATTATAACCAAGAGTTTATTAATTCCATATACTGAATTTTTATGATGGATTCAAGGTATGTGCAACCACTGCTTTTATTCCAATTCCAGAGTTTGTCCACATTTGGAAATGTGATTTGTATGGCCAGACATTATGACACCTATCTTTCATGGTTTATTGATATTCTCTGGCCCTGGTGAAATATTGTAGTCAATAATGGTACCTTTGTTGCTCAACAACTATCTCACCACATATAGTACAGTTTGCTTTGCATAAATACCCTTGGGAAAAGTATAAATCCACCTCTCTTCCCTACAGATATGGGTTAATTAATAAGACTTGTATCACTAAACCATTATTATCTCCAAAACAATCTTACAATCTAAAAATATTTTCAGGCCTTAAATAACCTGAAAAGGTTTGGTTTGTTTTGCTTTACGGCATACCAACCTGGATTTTTTTATGCTGACATTTTATTGCTGGTAATGTTTTTTTTCCAAAATGTATTACTGGTAATATTTTTTTTTTTTTTCAAAAATGTATCGCTGGTAATAATTTTTCTTCAAAAATTCATTACTGGTAATAATTTTTTACAAAACTTTATTGCTGGTATTAAAACCCATTTTAACACTTTCATGGTGCTTTGATCCCAGTTTGGAGGTTAGCTATATACCCATAACTGGTAACACCAGCCATTAAGAGGTGGTTCTATGCTCCTCAAAACCTCCCAATCAGAGGCCTTGCTGTTGGATGTAGTTTATCGTCTTACTCAGGATATGGATGTAGTTTATGTCTTACCCAGAAGATGAATGTAGTTTGTCATACTCAGGATGGTGAAAAGGGTTGGTAAACAAATCAATCATCCAGATCTATCGGCTCCCACCCCTATAGTCCAGATTGGGCTCCTTGTGACTTCTGATTTTTTGCAAAGCTAAAACTGATTATCCTGAAAGAAGATTTGTAAATGGATTTTGAAAAATAGGATAGGGAGATAAATGTGTGTAATCCTAAGGGGAGCACTTTCAAAGAGACTAAGATGCTGCTTCTCTAGATAAGATACTTCTATAATATTGAATGCCTGTATCATTTCTGGATAAACAATACTTTTTCAGTTATTCTTGAACATATATGTTAAACACAAAATTATGAGGTCTAACCAAAAAGTATTGGGACTGTTGCTATGGTAACAGAGATAATGTGCACAGAGTGAAGCAACTTGGCACAGATTGATCTTGAACTCTGTTGTACATGCTCACTAAGTTATAATGTTCTTGCTCACTTTTGTTATTTGGTGCTTGGAAGGAAAGTGTGTAGAGTGTGGTCATTTCACCACATCACAGAGGTTTCCTCAGTGACCACGGCTTGAGCACCAGTCTTTGGCAAAGTACAACATTCCCCAGGTCTGACAACCACCATATTCTTCAGATCTTTCCCCTTGCCATGTTTTCCTCTTCAAAAATCAAATCCCATTTGAAAGGATCAAGATTTCAAGACATCGAGGAAATCCAAGAGAATAAGACAAGGCAAAAAAAGAGGTTCCAGGAATGCATCTATCAATGAAAATGATGCTGGATAAAATTTGTAGCTTCAGAAAGGGACTACTTCAAAGGAAATTAAATGCCAGATTGATGTATTGTAGTTTTCT